GTACCATGGACTGCTAGGAAAACAAACAGATTCATCCTGGAAAGGGTTAAAGCGGGTGCTTCCTTGGAGGCAAGGATTCTGAGGCTCCGTCTAACACACTTTGGACATGTTGTAAGGAGAGACCGGTCCTTGGAGAAGGACATCATGCTTGGGAGGGTGGAGGAACAGTGCAGGAGAGGAAGGCCCTCTATGAGGTGGACTGATTCAGTAACTGGGGCAATCGGGATGGGAGTGTCAGAGACAGTGCAATTGGACAGAGCAGAGTTTAGGGCTGTTGTATGTAGGGTCACTATGAATCGCAAGTGACTCGATGGAACATAGCAACAGCAACATTTTGGTCAACAGTGTCTGTACAGTACAGCATATAGTAGTAATCGGTTATAAACAGTAAAATAATTTTTTGAGACTATCCATTAGGAAGAAAGACTCTAACAGTTCTTGTTCTTGTAAGTTATATTGTTGCTTGTTTCTCTGTCTTTCCCCTTCCATCACTGATGAAAGAATTATCATAACAAAGCTAGTCTATGGGAAACAGTTTTACTTTTGCACCTGGTGGGCTAGTGGTAAAAAATTGCCTTGGCAACCCAAAGGTGGTGGTGATGGTGGTAGTGGTTGTGGTGGTTGTTAGGTGCCTTCAAGGCAAGTACAACTCATAGCGACCATATGAATAGCATGTGGATCTCAATCCTGTCCTGTCCTGTGCATCTTCACACTTCCTGACACACTAGAGCCCATTGTAGCAATCACTGTGTCAGTCCACCTTGTCAAGAGTCTTACCCTCCTTCGCTGACCCTCCGTCTTTCATGTCTGTCTTCAAGGAGTAGCCCTTCTTAGCAACATGCTTGAAGTATGTGAAGCAGAGCTTTATCATCTTGCCGCCAAAGAGCAGTCTGGCTGCACCCTCTCCAAGACATGTTTGTTTGTTCTCTTGGCTATCCTGGGATGTTCAGTGCTCTTCTCCAACAGAGGCATCAATTCTTCTTCTATCCTCCTTATTAATTGTCTGGCTCTTAGATGCATAACAAGTAATTGGAAAGACCATTATCTGAATCAGAAGCATCTTCATCCTCAAACTGACATCATTATGCCTCGGTAATTTGGAGAGGAAGGTGGATAGTTGTAGTAGTGTAGTGGAAGAGCCCAGATTGGAAGTTAGTTAAAATTACAAAAAACTATGGCAAACAGCATTTAATAATTAGAAAATGGAATATATGTAGCTTGAATGTTGGAAACTTGGAAGTGGTTAAAAATGAAATGGAATTCATAAACATACTAGACATTAGTGAGATGAGATGGACCAGCTTGTTCTACTTGGAGTCAGATAATCATCTCGTATACTATGCTGAGAATGAAAAACAGAAGAATGGTATTGCATTCATAGTCAAAAAGTCAATTTCAAGTTCTATCCTGAAATACAATGTTCTTAGTAACATGATATTATCCATACACATGCAAGGAAGACCTATTAATATGACTATTATTCAAATATATGCTCTTACATGTAGAGCCAAATAGGAAGAAATTGGGAACTGAAATCTTGCAGTCCAGAATTGACCGAACATGCAACCAAGATGCATTAATATTAATTGGTGACTGGAATACAGAAGTTAGAAAGAGTGAAGAAGGAATAATAGTTTGAAAATATGGGCTTGATGATAGAAATGAGGCAGGAAACAGAATAATAAAATTTTATATTTTCAATGATTTATTTATTGCAAATACCTTTTATAAAAGAAAGTTACAGACAACAGCTTTGCACATGGATCTCACCTGATGGGCTGCATAGGAATCAGATTGACTATATTTGTAGAGGAAATTACTGGAGAAGCTCATATTGGCCAGAGGCAGACTGTGGGTCAGACCATCAGTTACACATATTATTGTTGTTCTGTGCCATCAACTCAATTGCAACTCCTATCAACACTATATATAAGAGCCCTAAACCCTTCCCTCTCTTGATCCAACTTTACCGTCTCTAATACACCTACCCCCATAACCCCAGTCACTGGGTCATTCCATCTCATGCAGGGTCTTCCTCTCCTGTGCTGTCCCTCCACCCTCACAAACATCATGTCCCTCTCCAAGGACTGGTTCCTCCTTGTACCCTGCCCAAAGCTTACATTGTAAGCTCCAGAATCGTTGCCTCCAAGGAGCAGCCCGATTTCACCCTCTCTAGGACAAACCTGTTTGCTCTCTTTGGTGGTTTGGAAGCAGGAGTGGCATCCACTTCCTAAACCACATGCCTCTGGAAACTATGAACTTGGAGAAACAACAGTAGTTATAGGAAGGCTTCAAGTATTTTGTTCATAGGGTCGCTATGAGTCGTGCTCGACTTAACAGCAATCAGCAGCAACAACAATAACAGCAGTCCATGGTATATTTAATACTCTTCTCCAGCACTACAGCTCAGACATCAATTCTCCTTCTGTCATCTCTTGTCATTGACCAGCTTTCTAATGCATAGTAAGTAATTGCGATCTTAGTCCGCAAACTGACATTGTTGCTCTTCAGTACTCTGGAGAAGTCCCTGATAGCAGATTTTCCCAGTGTAATTGCCTTTTGATTTCCTGGCTGCTGGTACCAAAAGTGTTGATTGTGGAGCCAAATAATCATTAAAATAAGTCCATAAGAACCAAGATATAATCTTGAATCTATTCCATCTGAATTTCAAGATCATCTTGGGTATTTGTTTGAGGCAGTGATCAAAGAAGACCGGGTAAATTCTAACCCCTGTGGTGGTGGTGATTATATGCCGTCGAGTATGACTTACATTGACCAAATGAACAATAGCTCTGAACCCTGCTCTGTTTTAATCCAACTTTGCCATCTCTGCCTCACCTGATTTTGTTGCCACCATAATTGTGTCAATCCATCTCACTCAGGATCTTCCTCTCCTGCACTGACCCTCTACCCTTATAAGCATGATATCCTTCTCTAAGGACTGGTCCCTCCTGGCGGTATGCCCAAAGTATGTGAGACAGAGTTTCACAATCCTTGTCTCCAAGGAGCAACCTGGTTATCTGGTTTCACTCTCTCCAGGGAAGACCTGTTTGTTCTTTTGACAGTCTATGGTATGTTCAGTACTCTTTTCTGGCATCACAGCTTAAAGACATTGATTCTTATCATCCTTTGTCATTATCATGCTCTCAGATAAATAGGAAACATTTCAGAAAACCGTGGCTTAGATCAGGTACATCTTAGTCTCTAGACTGACATTGTTGCTTTAGCATTCTGGAGAGGTTCTTGACAGAGGATTTTCCCAGTGCAACTCATCTTTTGATTTCCTGAGTCCTAGTCTCAACAGTGTGGGTTATGGACCCAAGCAAGATAAAATTGTTAACAACTTCAGTCTTTTCTCCATCTGTCATGATGCTTGCTGCCTATTGGCTCAGTGGTGAGGATTTTTATTTTCTTGATGTTGAGATGCAATCCGTACTGAAGGCTGCAGTCTTTGACCTGCAGCAAGTGCTTCAAGTCCTTCTCAATTTTGATTAACATGGTTGTGTCACCAGCATAGCACAAGTTGTTAATGAGTCTTCCTCCAATCCTGATGCCACATTTTTCTTCAAAAAAAATCTAGCCTCCTGAATAATCTGTTTAGTATGTAGTTTGAAAAGTTATGGAGAAAAGATATATCCCTGACGCTCTCCTTGCTTGGTTTTGAACTATTCTGTGTCTCCTTGCTCTATGCAGACAACACTTTCCTGGTATGGTTTTGCATGAGCACAATCAAGTGTTCTGGGGTTCCCATTCTTCCTAATGTTAGCCATAAATTGTTTTGATCCACACCATTAAACGTGCCCAAAGTATGCAAGACGAAGCCTCATCATCCCTGCCTTCAGGAGCACTCTGGCTCTACCCTCTCCAAGACATAGTTGTTTTTTTGTCAGCATATGGGATATTCAGTACTCTTCAGTTCAAAGGCATCAGTATTTCTTTAGCCATTCTTATTCATAGCTCTCAGCAGCATAGCAAGTAATTAAAAAGAGTGTGATCTGAGTCAATCGAACCTTAGTCCTCAAATATGCTTTGGGCATGTGGCTAGGAGAGGCTATTCTTTGGAGAAGGACACCATGCGTGAAAAATTGGGGCATGGTAAAAAAGAGGAAGACCTTCAACCAGGTGGACTGACTGATAACAGTGACTACAGCAGTGGGTTTTACTGTGTCAGATTGTGAGGCTGGCATAAGATAGGACAAGGTTCAAATCTATTGTTCATAGGATTGCTTTGAGTTGTACTCAACAGCACGTAACAACATAGTCAAATGCCTTTTAAAAAATATTTTATTAATTTTTATGCCTGTACCGTCAAATCAGATCCAACTGGTATAGGAGGAGATTGTCCCTCCTTCTCCAGCAGAACATCTGGTGGATTCAAACTGTGCACCTCTGGGATTGCAGTGCAGCTTCTTACCACTAGGCCACCAGAGCTCCCTTTCAAATGCCTTTTTATAGTGTAAAACACTAATAGAATATCCTTCTGGTACTCTCTGCTTTCAGCCAAGAGCTATCTGACATCAGTAATGATATCCCTATAGTATTTAATAATGCCATGGCCTCTTCTAAATACAGCTTTTATTTCTTGTAGTTCTTTGTCAGTATATTGTTCTAGTTGGTTTTGGATCATTTTTAAAAAGATTTTACTTGCATGTCATAGTAATGATATTATTTGAGAATATCCACATTCTGTTGGATAACCTCACAACCATAATTTGTTCTTAAGCTGTGTAACTAAATATTTGTATGAATGTTATATAAATATATTCATAAAATATTTATCCTTGTGAGTTTTGTTTTATGACTCTTTGCTTTTTTAGTTATAGTGTTTTGCTTGTTGATGATAACCCTTTGATTTAAAAAATGCTAAAATTTCTTTTGTCTAACTCAGTAGGTTTAACTTGTCAGCATATAAGTCATTCTGTCAGTCTGAATCATGTGAAGAAAGCAGTAGCTGAAAATTTATGGTCAGTCTGTTCAGAATGTTTAAAAGAAAGGAAATTCTATGATGGACAGCCAGTACTTCCGTCTGATACTTGGTTGTGCCTCAAATGTGGTTTTCAGGTAAGGAAAATGCTATTTACATGTGAATTTTTTATAAATATTTTTCTTAAATGCTTATTTTTATTTGAACTATTGGTTGTATGAAAGACTTAAGATAAATTTATTCCATTAGAACAAAACTCCTTAAGAATGAGCTTAGAAATAGCAAAATTCAACAGAACAGCAAACAGCAAGTGCTGGCGAGGTTGTGGAGAACCTGGAGCCCTTATTCGCTGTTGCTGGGAGTGTAAAATGGTGCAACCACTATGGAAGGCTGTATGGAGCTTTCTTAAAAAGTTGGAAATAGAATTACCATTTGACCCAGCAATTCCACTACTGGGAATATACCCTAAAGAAACCAGAACTTCCACCCAAGCAGATATATGCACCCCCCCATGTTATTGCAGCTTTGTTCACAATAGTAAAGCGTTGGAAACAACCCAAGTGTCCATCAACAAACAAATGGATAGAGAAACTGTGATATATTCACATAATGGAATACTGTGCTGCATTGAAAAACAGAACTCATGAGATATTATACAAAATGGTGACCTTTGAGGACATTATGCTGAGTGAAATATCTCAGTCACAAAGGACGAATACTGCATAGTGCCACTGTTGTAAAACGGGACTGACTTCGGGGTTGGGGAAAACTAAGAAAAGAGAGGGCAAATAATGTATACTGGATTGAAACAGATGAGGGAGAAAACTGTTTAAAAGAAATATAGGATTAGGTATTATTTTCATGACAAGGTTACAGACAAAGAAATGCATATTAAAATAGACTGTGGACTTGGGGGGGCGGTTTGTATAACAATGAAAGAATTTTTTCTTCAAAGAGAAAACAAACTGGGAGAGGGCTGGACAGGAGGAAAATGGGCAACAAATGAATGGGGAAAAATTAAATGGAAGGAATATGCTGTAAAAAACATATATGTATATATATTGCATTAAAAAATCATTAATAATAAAAAAATGTTTAAAAAAACCCAAATGAACAACAACAACAACAGCAAAAAAGAACTGGTGGGCCCAGAAAGTAGGGAAGAAAATGTACATAAAATAATGAGTGCTCTAGTTGGTTTTGGATCTGTAAACTTTTGTTAATATCATAATAAATTTTTTAAAAATCAGTACAAAAATTAAATTTCACAATTAATACATAAAAAAAGAATGAGCTTAGAAATTTTTATTAAGATAAAGTGGAAAGTGTGCAGTGTTTAGAAATTAATCATGTTTGGGATATAAATACTTCAAAAGAGAATGCAGTCTGTGAGTGGTAGTTGACATATCTGCACCTGTCTTTGCCTCTTTTGGGAAATTGATTCAAGTTTTCTTTTTTTTCCTTCCTTATTGTGTGCCATTGAATCGGATCTGACTGTCACAGGAGGAGATTGCTCCTCTTTTCTCCAGTGGAGCTTCTGGTGGATTCACACCTCGCATCTTCAGGATTGCAGCATAGCTTCTTACCACTAGGCCACCAGAGTTCCCCTTCCAAATTTTCTTTTAAAACAATATTAAAATGTATTTATTTTCTTTCTAAAAGACGATTGCTTATTTTGCTTCTTTAAAAAAAACCAACAACCCACTTTACAACATATTTAAAAAGAACAGAATTTTTCCAGTGAAATTGAAAGTGTATACCTTTTAATATAGAAGACCACTAAAGTAAAAATCTAACGAAAGATTTACAAGCAAAAGACTCCATCCTGGAGAGTTATCAGGAATGAGGAAGTAAGGAGAAAGGAGCAAAAGTAAACAGATCAGTTGAGTGAAGCAAAAGGTAATATTTTTTGAAAATTAAAAAGTGTATTATTTTTTAAAAAATAAAAGAAGCATCCTTATTAACTGAAATAGAAAATCCAGAAGTAGAGCCACTTCAGGGTTAGTTAATCCAGTGGTGGTAGTTGTGTGCTGTCAAGTTGGAACTGACTCTTAGCTTCCAATAGAGAAATACTAAAACTCAGGTTTCTTCCATTTTTCTGTTGTCAGTATGATTCTGTTATCCACTGTTGGTTCTGATTGGTGATGACTTAATGTGTGCAGAGAACTGGTCTAGTAGGTTTTCAGGGCTATGATCATTCAGAAGCAGATCACTAGATCTTTTTCCAAGATGCTTCTGGGTGGTTTTAACCGACCAATCCATTTGCACCACTACTTCTCACCTTACAATACCCTAAGGTCAGAAAATACTTTCAGTATAAATTTGAGTTATGGTTTATGCTTTTAATTAATTTGAAGCAACTTTCTATGTTAAATTATGCAAAGGGCATTCTGTTTGTCTCTAGGGATGTGGTAAAAACTCAGAAAGCCAGCATTCTCTGAAGCACTTTAGGAGTTCCAGAACAGAGCCCCACTGCATTGCTGTTAGTCTGAGCACATGGATAATATGGTAAGTTAAACTTTGTTAGTTCATATTCTGTACCCAAAAATTAATTTTATTTTAGCTTCACAAGGTAGGATATTTAAAGAATGTAACCAACTTATCCCTTTTTAGCTTCAACACAGTCCGTAAGATAATTTAAGAATATTCATATTGTTCTTAAGAGTGAAGTTTAAGTTACAGAGAATTTAGTCATCTCTCCACTTTTCTCAAAGTTTTCTTTGTGCTTTAAAGGGGAAAATCTTTCCCCCCCCACTTGATTTTCTCTGAGAACTCCCTAATATAGTTTTTGAGAGTTCAGGTTAAGTGTCATATAGATTCTTTGCAAAGAGAAGGGAAAACTTGGGAAGATGTAGTTTGTGAAATTTCTCAGATGGTCTTGTTACTCAACTCTGATTGAAAACCTTATTGAGTTCCATTATGCATTTTGTGTATGAGGGAACAGTATCTTTTAATTGTTGTGGTTACAGAGTAAAAATGCAGGCACTAAAAGAGGCCTTTTGAAACCAAATCTCTTTCTGTATACTGCCCTGCCTCAAGGTATAACCTAAAAAAAGCAAATTTAGACAGTGATAAGGAGAGCCTTTATTCTCCCTATCAATGGGGGAGGGGAGCAAGGGCAAAAGGATTACTACAATTATAGGTGGTGGTTGTTATGTGCTACAACTCATAGCAGCCCTGTGTACAGCAGCCCTATGCCGTGCTCTATCCTGTGCCAGTCTCATTGTCTCTTACACACCTATCCCCATTATCCTAGTCACTGAATCAATCCATCTCATAAAGGGTCTTCCTGTCTTGCACCATCCCTCTCCAAGGACAGATCTCACCTTGCAACATGTCCAGAGTATGTCAGAGGAAGCTTCAGAATCCTTGCCTCCAAGGAGCAGCCTGGTATCACCCTTTCTAGGACAAACCTGTTTGTTCTGTTAGCAATCCATGGTATATTCAATACTCTTCAGTACTCAAAGGCATTAATTCTCCCTCTGTCATCCCTAATCATTGTCCAGCTTTCTGATGCATAACAAGTAATTGTAAAGACTATATCCTGCATCAGGCTTACTGTAGTCTCCAAACTTGACATTGTTACTCTTCAATACTTTAGAGAGTTCTCTGACAGCAGACCTTCCCAGTGCAACTCATCTTTTAACTTCCTGGCTGCTGATACCAAGAGTATTGATTGTGGAGCTGAGCAAACTAAATTGGGATAAGAGTCTTTTGTAATCAGATACTTAGTGTGAGTTCTGCAAGCTTCAAGAATTAGGAAAAAATGTTTTGTTTTTATTTTTTCTTTTATAAAGAGTGAAAAGACAAGAAATAGACTGAGAGGAAGTAGAATGAAAAGATGATGTGATATGCTCTATGAGGGGTCCTTAAAGAGGGCCTGTTTGTGGATTCTTATCTCCTGTCCATCAGTTTGTAGTATTGTGATTTGCATATTGCTATGATGCTGAAAGCTCTGTTACTCTTTTACTAAATACCAGTGAGATTAACCATGTGAATAAATTTCAGTGTTACTTCTGCACCAAGACTAGGAAGAAAAGTCTTATGATCTGTTTCTGAATACTAACCAATGAACTATGACTTACAATAGAATATTGTTTGATAAAGTGCTGGAAGATTATTACCCCTTGACTGGAAACTCAATGCCAGACTCATTGCTCTCAAGTCGATTCTAACTAATAGTGACACTGCAGGATGGAGCAGAACTGCCTTCTTGAGTTTCCAGGACTGTAAACCTTGGTGGGAGCAAACTTCCATCTTTCTCCCTTGGAGAATCTGGTGGGTTGGAGCGCCCAAGTTTTCAGTCAACAGCCCAACCCAACACTAGCTTTATACCCTCAGGACTGTCTTATGGTGAAAACTCACTGTCTTGAGTTAGTTTAGACCCTTCATCAAGTTTCCAAGGCTGTAAATCTTAAAGGGAAGAGACTTCCCATCTTTCCCTCACAGAGCTGATAATGCATCAGTCTATTGGTTAGACAAATGAAAAGTGAGAGGACTGCACCTCCAGAGCTCCTCCCCCAGCTCTCTCTGTTCAAAGTTCATCCTTGAAGAGTCAGTTTGAAAGGCACAGCCTTTCTCTCTAGCCCAGAAGGCACTCAAAATGCACAGCTTCTGCAATAATGGACTTATCATATTAACAGTCTTGAAGATGAGGCATGATGGGGCATTTTGTTCTGTTGTACATATGCCCACCATAGGTCAGAGCCAGCTATATGGAAACTAGAAACGTTCATTTTTGGCTGAGGGTGGGCCAAATTTCAATGACTGAAGAGAAGAAGAAATTCTAAACAGTTTGTTTAAAAAGCATTTTTGTTTCTGATTGGTCAGTGAGAATAGCAATTCAGTTATTTATTTATGACACAAATTAGAGAAATCTGGAGGATAAGCAATTCAGTTATTTAGGAGACAAGGAATAAGAATTTGGAAAATCTCTGTCTGATTTCATCCCAACTTACAAGGACCCTATAGGACAGTGTCGAACGGCCCCATATTATTTTCTAAGATTGTAATCTTTATGGAAGCAGATTGACATAACTTTTATTGTGGGAGCACTTTGTTGTCAAGTGCTGTCGAGTCCACTAGAACTTATAGTGACCCTTTGAACAGTGGATCTGAACCCTGCATTAATTATCCTTTGTGATCTTGGCCATCTCTTGAGCCCACTATTACAGTCACCGTGTCAGTCCATCTCTTTGAGGGTCTTCTCCCTCCTTTTCTGACTTTCCACCTTTCCAAATATGATGTTCTTTTCCAGAATAAAGATAACTGAAGAATGATCAGTGCCTTTGAGTTGTGGTGTTAGAGAAGAGTGCTGAGTATCCCATGGACTGCACAAAAGGCAAACAAATATGTCTTGGAAAAAGTGTAGCCAAGGTGCTACTTGGAAGCAAGGAGAGTGAAGCCTTGCCACACATACGGTGGGCATATAGTTAGGAGGGGACAGTCCTTGGTCATGGGCAGCTAGTGGTTTCAAATTGCTGACCTTTTGATCAGTCAAGTTACAAAGTTCCATCTGAACTTTATAACTAACTTACTTAACCCCTAAGTCACTTAGGAGTAGGACTCTACCTATTGGGAGTGGGTTTTGTGTTTTGGTGTCTGGCCATGTTGTAGGTAAATAAGGAGACATTTTGATTGTTAATCTAAATCATTAGAGTGGTTATTTGTAGTAAGCCATTTTCTGAACTCAAAGATGGAAAACATCTCTAACCATTGCTTTTTTCACAAGATTTGGGTAAAATTCTGTGTATCAGGTGCTATAAATGGATGTTATGTTGGAAAGCTTTTTTATATTTTACAATAAAGTTTTTGTAACTAGAAGCTAGGACTACTAGGCTTCTAAGTTTTCAGGGATGCTTAAATTTTTAAAGGCAAAAATATTATAATATCCTGTTTTTATTCCAGGGTTTTAAAAGTAATATAAAGAGGCTGACATCAATTGAGCCTCCGTCTACTTTCACCAAATCATGCATTCTAAATAAAGTATATTTTAAAAAAATTAATACAAAGATATTCTGGATCATATAAGAAATAATTTTTAATCTAAGATAGCCATAGATTTGATGGTGTTCAAGTTTATATTTGCATGGTTTATTTTGTTGCCTTTAACGTAGTATTATTGGGGAGAATGAGAAAAGAACAGAGGGAAACTTAATCTGTAAATGAGCTTTGAAGCCAGGGGAAACTGGGATGATGTCATTGTGTGCAGGTTCAGTAAGTAACTTAGCATTAATATGAATAAAGCAGTGGTTTCAAACTGAAGGGCATCCCTGGGAAGACTTACTAAGACAGATTTCTGAACCTCATTCTTTGACTTTCTGATTAATGAATCAGATATTAATTATATCTTTTGCGGGTCCTGAGAATTTGTATTTTTTTAAGTTCCCAGGTGTTGCTGATGCTGCTTATGTGGTGTCTCATTTTGAGAACTACTAGAGTAGAGAAAGGTATGGCAAAATTGAATTACATTAGGGCACCAGCAGGATAGGTTCATCTCAAGGAATGTGTGCCAAGGTCCCAGTCCAAAACTGTTAGCAGCATAATGACCGTATGAGTGATGATTTAATTTGAACAAAACAGAGTAGCAAATTAGCATTGTTGTGGTGGTTGTGTACCATCAAGTGGGAACTGACTCATATAGCTGACCCTCCAATGAGTGTTCAGAGGCAGTTTAGTCACTGGTGGATTTGAACTGCATCCCTTTGGGATTGCAGTATAGTTTCTTACCACTGGGCCACCAGAGCCCCCTAAATTAGTATTAGTTTTAGGATATGTTTTATCATTTTGTTTTTATATTTAATTCTATAATTTATTTTCCTTTTTTAGTTAGAAGAGATACAAGGATCATGTGTTCATTGAGTTTTACAAGTAGGTGTGTCAAGTTGATATTTTAATGAGTGTCATTTAAAATTTGGCCCTTATAAAATTGTTTTCCTTTAAAAGGAAACTTAAGTTCGTCAAATTGCATCTATTGACATTTAAAGTTTGTTAACATCCTGTTTTCCCACTTTACCTTCTCCTAAGTGCTGAGCAAGGGTGATGAGGGTAGGACAGGGTTCAGATCTGGTGTTCATAAGGTTGCTGAGAATCAGTAGTTGATTTGGTGGCACCTCACAACAATAGCATCGTATTTTTAAAGGGCCAGAAGGGGGAAAAGATGGGCAATCTCCCTTTCAGTCTAAACATGGTTAAGAGACACTAAACACTTAGAGCTGTGTGGAAATGAGTGCATCTGAAGTGCTCTCTAGAGAGCTTTGGTGGCTCAGTGCTCAGGAGTTGCTAACCCAGAAACCTGCAGTTCAGATCCACCAGCTGCTCATTGGGGAGAAGCGCAGTCCCCTCTTATGTGATTTACTGCTTTTACTGCTTGTGGAAACCTATTCCGGCTTGGTGTAGATAACAGCAGCAGCAAAGTGCTTTTTTATATGTTTGTAAAAAGAAGATTCAGCATGGTTCCTGGACTCTTAACAGACTATGGATTGCAAATCTTCCTCTGTCTCAAGTCTCTCATCCATAAAAGAGAAAGTAAACTTCTACAGGGTATCCAAGGAGCCCTGGTATACAGTGGTTAGGTTCTCAGCTGTTACCTGAGAAGTTAGTGATTTGAACTGACCTGTTACTTTCTGTACTTTCAGCATGGTTCTATAAAGATTTACAGCCTCAGAAGCCTTTTAGGGCAGTTCTACTCTGTCCTATAGAATTGCTGAATCAGAACAAATGGGAAAACACTGGGTATGGTTTTGGTTTCTAAAGATATTTCTCTAAAAACGAATACTCTCTATGATTGTTCTGAGGCATGAAATCACATTTAATTTTATATATCTGGATATATCTATCACACTTGAAATAGTGCCTGGCACATAGTAGATGGTTTAAAAAAATCTTTTGTTACTTCTAATGGAAATAACTAAAATAAAGTAATTTTAAGACTGATTTCTCTCCAGATGCACTGCTAGCAAGCTCATTTTTATCTATTTGACTTTTCACGGTTTACTTTTAAAGTTAAAACAATGTACGCTGTAATAGATACAAATTTATGTTGTCAGTAACAATTTTTTGATATTTTGCAGGTAAGTATATTTTATTATTATTTTAAATAATTAAATCACTAAATATTGATCAGCTGTTATAGTATAAAGAAATCCTGATGATGTGGTGCATGAGGTGGGGTGCTGACGGTTGGCGGTTCAAATCCACTAGCTGCTCCACAGGAGGAAGATGGACGTATTCCTCCCATACAGATGTATAGTCTCAGAAACCTGAGGGTTGCTGAGTCAGAATAGACTCGACAGCAGATAGTTTGACTTTGATTTATTGTAATGTCAACCTGGTAACTAATTCAGTTGTTAAAATTTAATCATGGTTTATTGAAAAGAGATTTTGGAAAATGTCTTTTATGGCGTAGTATCCTCACTGATCCTGCTGTATCTGGTACTCAGTACATTTTGTCCGAATTTTGAGTGCTATTTAGACAAGGACCCAGAGTACCTGGCAAGGCTTTAGATGGGAAGAGTGTGAACATGTAAAATGATGTTGATATAGCAGCTTATAAAACACTTAAAAATAAGCTTTTATTAGATCATTAGCTTTCATGAAGAAAAAACATAAAAGGAATGAATGACCCTATGTAGAAAAAGATCTCCTGTAATAATGAGTAAACGTGAATGAAGTTAGTTTTCTAAAATGTAATATGCTTCTGAAAATCTCTTTCTTGAGCCCCCAAATGTATCTCCAAACAAAATAAAGCAACTATCTCTTCCTCTAAGTGGTACCTCCATCACTCAGATAATTAAGCCAGAAACCTGGCAGTTATTTTCCACTTTTTATCCTTTTGTTTAACCTTTTAACAAAATTAGACAGAATGGTATAATACAAACTTAACAATTAAATCTGATAAATAACAGATCGTGATAAAAACCCATGCTTTAACAATTATTGACTTGCAGCAAGTTCTGTTTCTTTTAGAATGGAGTTTCTCAGCTCAGCACTATTGGTACTTGTGTTAGAGAATTCTTTGTTATGGGAAGCTGTCCTGTACTAGTGTTTGGCAGAATCCCTGGCTGCTGACCTTTAGATGCTATGTGCAAACACCAACTCCCCAAATTGTGCCCACTGACATTGTCTTGAGAGTCACCTAAAGGTCAAAAATCATCTCTGGTTCAGAACCACTGATAAATTCTTACCCATTTTTCTCCTGTGGCAGATGTTTTGACACCTTCCTCTCATCTTTTTAAACTAATTCATAATTATTTCTACCTGAAAAAAAAATGAGAAGTCTTCCTACTTCTCATCACATCCACTTTTATTGTCCTGATAGGTTTCCATTCCTGTTGCTCTCTAATTTGGTTAAATCACATTACTCAAAATTATTTTTTAAAAAAAGTAAATTGACTACTATCACACTTCTGCTTTAAAAATAATATGCCTGGCATTCAGTTACACTTAGTATAAATTATCAAAACTTTAATAGCCGTCCCCTGCTTATTTCTTTTTTCCCCCCTCTACTTATTTCTATAGACTTCCCTAGTATCTCCTTCTCCTCCCCTACATATTTCAAGACAAAAAAAGTAAGTTTGTAATTATTACGTGGTGTACAAAATTATTAAAAATATTTTTGTAGTATTAACTTTAAACTTTATATTCTTTCAGGTGTTATGAGTGCAATGAAATATTATCTCCACATTATAATAAGAAGGTTTTGGCTCAAATAGTTGATTTTCTTCAGAAACATGTTTCCAAAACACAAACAAGTAAGTTTAACAATTATTAAAGGAATTTATATGAAAAGGTATTTCATACCTTTAGAGTTTATAAACTCTAGGTTTGTCTATGACTTCTCAGTCTGCAGTTTGAGTAAAAATGTGCTGTATTTTTAGGCAGCAATCTGAATAATAATAGTTCTGCCATGTTATTTCTTATGTGAAGCTTCGTAAAATTTTGTGAAATACTTTTGAAAAATCAAATGTGAAAATTACTATTGAGGAAATACTAAAATTGTTAAGAATTTCATCTTACATGGCTTCATGGTCAATGCCAATAAAAGCAGGTTTTGAGAGCCAGAGGACGTGTTTATTGCACGAGGCATATCTGCTGTAAAAGCCTTCCTCAAAATGTCAAAAAGAAAAGATAGAACTTTGAAGACTGAATTGCTCCTTACCCAAGCCATGGAATTCTCAGTCACCTCATTTGTTGGTAAAAGCTGGACAGTGAATAAGAAATTGTTATTTGGTGTCATCGAGTCAAGTATAACCCATTGCGACCCTATGAACAAAAGCTCTAGAGCCTGCTCTTCCTATGCCATCCTTATACTTCCTGACACACAAGAGCTCATTGCAGCAGTCACCGTGTCAGTCCACCTGGTTGAGGGTCTCCCTGTTCAGAAGAAAAACTGATTAATACCTTTGAATTATGGTGTTGGTATTGGTGAAATAATACCATGGATTGCCAGAAGTACAAATAAATCTGTGTTGGGCAAAGTATGACCATAAAGCTCTTTGGAATTGAGGAAGGCAAGATTGTCTCATGTGCTTTAGACATGTTATCAGGAGGACCTGGAAGAGGACATCATGATTGGTACAGTAGAGAATCAACGAAAAAGAAAAAGACCATCAGCAAAGTGGATAGACAGTAGCTGCAACAGTGGGCTCAAACATCACAGTGACACAGGACTGGGCAGTGTTTGGTGCTGTTTTACCAATTCAGTGGACCTAACAAGTTAAATGGCTAACTGATTTTTAGAATAAACAGGTGAAGTATTTGTTTGGTTTCAAGGTAGGAGAATAGTGTTATTCCCCCCCCCCTTTTTACTTACTCTTTAAACTTCTTTTTTGCTGTAGAAATGGGCAAATTACATTACTCCTACATGACTGACTCAGGTAATTGCATTAAGCTGTTGAGATGAACTTCATTGCCAGTTCCCAGAAGAATGCTTACAGCTGTGTAGTTTTCACATCTGATGCCAGAGCTTGCTTTTTAAACAGAACACAAAAACCAAAATCCTCTCCCACGCACATGCATACAGGAAAATGAAAAACCACAAATAAAAACTCCGAACTAGTGAAAAGGTCATATATAACAAGATTGTAAAGGGACAAGAAAACTTTCTTGTAAGTCTATTCAGAAATAAGTGTCATTAAAAAGGTTAGTGGGCAGATTCTCTGAAAGTCTTTTCACTTTGACAGTCTGTAAACGTCATGTTAGTCATCTACCAGGGCTTGTAGAATTAAAGAAATTCCTGGTGAAATACTACTGTTGAGTATTAGCTTGCTTTTTATGAAGTAGATAGATGATGGACAACTCCATATTCTTTTCTAAACCAGCAAATTTGGGTCATAATTTTAATACTGGTGGGATTCCATTTTAAAACCTTAAAAGAATATGAAATACTGTATTTTTGTTAGCATACTTTGGACATGTTGCAAGAAGAGACCAGTCCTTGGAGAGAAACATTGTGCTTGGGGGAATGGAGGAATAGCGCAAGAGAGGAAAGCCCTCGATGAGATGGGTTTATTTAGTGACTGTGGTAATGGAGTTAGTTGTGCCGGAGACAGTGAGATTGGCACAGGATAGAATAGGGTGTAGGGCTGTTGTACATAGGGTCGCTATGAGTCGCAGGTGACTCAATGGCACATAACAACAACAATTGCACTTACGTTCATAGTTTATAAAAGATGTTATGTTGGCTCTTTTAACTTTATAAACGACAAGATTACTGTATATTTTCTTTAAATAAGAAAGTAAAAGGTGTATTTTTTATCTGAAGTAATGTATCTAAGGATAAATAATATTGTGCCTTCTCACAGTTATACTTTAAAGGGAATTTGGTCCTTTTTAAAAGAGTACAATTTGTTTTGTTAAAAAGTGATGATCATGTTCCTATAAACACTTAAATCTCTTAGCTGACCCACAGAATGCAGAAAATTGAGTAACTATTTTCTCATTTCTCCTGAGGAAGTGGAGATTTGCTTCTAAATTTTGAGATGAAATTAATTCATGCATAAAGTAGATGCCTAGGGCATTAGGGATTAATTCCTTTGAGGAATCCTTGGAGAAGAGGGCTGCTTTAAACTATAATGTAACTGTAAAGCAAACACAAAAAAATTCATCAATTAACTATATCCAGTTTTTGTTCAAGAGTAATAGCTTTTTCTTTTACATCATTATTAGCATTTCATTAATGTTTCAAATTGTTACCACATGTATTAACCCTATCTTCCACTACTTTAATAGAAAGATGTTGTTATTGTTCTTATGGCCTTCAAGTACTATGAACAACAGATCTATACCTTGTTCCCTCTTTTGCTGTCGTCATCCTCTCAGACATATTTGAGCCTATTGCTGCAGTCACTGTGTCGTTCTATCTCATTGAGGTTCTTCTTCCTCTTTTCCCTGACCTTACACCTATTTGAGCATGATGTCCTTTTCTAAGGAACAGCCTAGCCTAGCAACATACCCAGAGTATGTGAGACAGAACTTTGTCATATTTGCCTTTAAGGATCACACTGGCTATACTTTATTCAAAACATGTTTGTTCTTTTGGCAGTAAATGGGATATTCAGTATTCTTTTCCAACACCACAGCTCCAAAAGCATCAATTCTTCTGTCAGACTTACTCATTATTCAGTTCTCAGATGCATAGGAAGTGATTGAAAAGACTATATCTTGAATCAGGCACACCTTAGTCTTTAAACTGACATCATTACTCCTTTATACTTTGGAGAGGTTCTTGACAGCAGACTTTCCAATGCATTATGTCTTTTGATTTCTTGACTGTTGGTACGAAGGAGTTTGGTTGTGGTTCCAAGTAAGTCACTGATAGTTTCAGTTCTTTCTCCATCTATCATGATATTGCTTATTGGACCATTGGTGAAGATTTTGTCTTCTTGATGTTGAGATGTAATTGATATTGATATTGAAGCTGTAGTCATTACAAGGATAGAGGAGAAAGAAAAGACCAACATGAATGTCAGAAGAGACTCTGAAGATTACACTAGAGCATTAACTTTTGAAGAGCAACAATATCATCTGAAGACTAAGGTGTGCCTGATCCAGGCCATAGTCTTCACAGTTATTTGCTAAGCATCAGAAAGTGGGACAGTGACTAGGGATGATAGAAGGAGAATTGATGCCTTTGACTTGTAGTGCTGGAGAGGAGTATTGACTATACCATGGACTGTTAAAACAAACAGATTCATCTTGGAGAGGGTTAAACCAGGCTGTCCCTTGGAGGCCAGGATTCTGGAGCTCCTTCTGACATACTTTGGGTCTATTGCTCAGGGGGATCAATCCTTAGAGAGGGACATCCTACTTGGGAGGGTGGAGGGACAATGTAGGAGAGGGAGACTCTTGATGAGATGGATTGATTCAGTGATTGGGATAATGGGGGTGGGTGTGTCATAGACAGTGAGGGTGGCTCAGGTAGGGCAGGGTTTAGGGCTATTGTACATAGGGTGGCTGTTAGTTGCAAGCAGCTCAACAACACTTAACAACAGCAACACAGTTGAAAAGCCAAAACAAAGGTAAGAGGTACCAGAGTAAAGAGGTGAACAGATGATTTCAAAGGGCAGCTTAAGAAAGCAAAGCAAAATATTATAATTATTATAATTATACTAGTTAATATATATTATAATTGATATTATATTAAGTAGTAGCTAATATATATGTATATATATTAATATATTATGTATAATTATATTATGTCCAAAGAGCTGGAGTTAGATAATAAAAAGGGAAATCACTTGGATTTCTTTTTTTTCTTTATTATTATTACTAATTTTAATGAACATTTACAGAGATTTTTTTATTTCCATTCATTCATTGTTGCACTTTATCCCTGCCCACCCCTCAGTTCCAGTTTGTTCTTCTCTTTGAAAAGTAAAATTCTTTATTGTTATATAATCCCTCCCCCCAAGTATACTATTGTTATATAATCCCTCCCCCCAAGTATACTCACTCGATATCACTTGCCATTTCTTAAGCTGAAAGGACTAAAAAGCAAATTCAGGTCTCGATTTGCTATACTGAGAGATGCTATAGGCAAAATCTTGAATGATCCAAGCAAGAGGCATCACAAGAAGATGGAGGTGGAGGAAATACACAAAGCCACTTTATCAAAAAAGAATTGAAACATAATGGTTATGTGTGTGGACTCTGAAGCCAGATTTCCAAGGTTTGAATGTCATCTCTGCCCCTAATCAATTAAGTGCCTTAGTTTTTCCACAGTATTGTGGTTGTCATGTGCCATTGAGACATCTAGGACTTATAGTGACCTGATAATACAGTAGCTCTAAAGCTTGCCCTGTCCTGAGTCAGTCTCACTATCTCCGACACCTACCCTCCTTACCCCAGTTACTGTATCAGTCCATCTCATGGGGGGGGGTCCTCTTCTCCTGCACTGTCTGTCCACTCTCCCGAGCATGATGCCCTTCTCTAAAGACTGGTCCCTCCTGGCCATGTGCCCAAGTATATGAGACAGAGCTTCAGAATCTTTGCCTCCAAAGAGCAGCTTGGTTTCACCTCTCCAAGACAGACCCATTTGTTTTCTTGGTGATACATGGTATGTTTAAGACTGTTCTCCAGCACCACAACTCAGAGGCATTGAGATTTCTTCTCTCATCCTTCATCACTATCCAGCCCTCTGATGGATAACATATAATTGCGAAGGCCACAGCGCCTTAGTCTCAAGACGGACATCATTGCTTTTTAGCAATTTGGAGATGTCCCTGCCAGCAGATTTCCCCAATGGAATTCATCTTTTGATTTCCTTACTGCTGGGTAAGGGTGTTGTGGATTCAAGAAAGCTGCAGTTAACAACCTCTCTCTCTTCCCCATTTATCGTGTTGCTATCAGTGGCCCAGTGGTTAGACTCTTCTGTCTTCTTGATGTTGAGCTTCAATTCCTATTTAATACTGCAGTCCTTGACCTTCTGCAGCAAAGCTCAGTTTTGGCAAGCAGGGTTGTGTCATCTGCATAATGCAGGTTGTTGATGAGTCTTCCTCCAGTCCTGATGCCACATTCTTCCTCATGAAGTCCAGCCTTCTAGATGATCTTTTCTGCATACAGATTGTAAAGATACGGAGACAGGACGCATCTCTGATATATTCTTTTCCTGACTTAGAACCATGTGATATTTCCTTGCTCTGATGACTGCTTAATTACATTCTTAGATTTTAAAGATAATTTACCTAAAATTGTCCTTTAAAAACTTCATTTTCGTTTTCTTAAAAAATGTTTTGATTTAATATCCTTAACCTTAGTAAACATAATTGTAGAGTCTTTACCATTGATTCAATTGTGTTGAATCTTTATGGTCATTTTCATAACTTGTAGGTTGTCTTAGAAAATCTGAGGTCATTCTCATAACTTGTAAATTGTCTTAGCAAAGTTGTTGAAATGAAGTGAAAAAAATTCTCTTTGTTGGTGCAACAGCTAGTTGGCCTGAGGAATGTGTAACCTGTTAGGCCTGCTTAGTTGAATACTCTGAGTATTCAGACTATTTGTTTTAAGGTAAATTTCAGAGGCTTAAAATTTTATCTAAACAGTCTTGAAGCTATCTCCATATCATTTGCTTTTCTGAATTTGTGTTTTCTTAATATATAAGTGGAATGTCTGATGACAATGCTGATAATACAACAGAGATAAGTGAGACTATAGATAACATCTATTTTGATAAGAAAATTTTCTAACCCTGAGACTCTCCATTACTTATTTATGCATCTCTTTAACAACAACAAAAATTGCATTTGTGAGAGTTATACTTGAGGAAACTAGAACAAACAGTAATCAGTGTTTGTATACTTATGTTATTTGCTATTGCTCTAGCAGTGTAGTAATTTTACATATCTTACTTTAAAATATCTTGGAGTTCTATTAGTGTATTTAGTTCTGTGTTTGTAAAGGAAGAGGAGATGTCTTAAAGTGGATGTGACTTGAAAATCTTTGTGTTACTGTACTGAGAAGGCTTTGTTATTTCTGAAAATGAGATCATCAGTAATTGTTATTCATCCAAAGTAATTTTTTTGTGTTATTGTTTGTTTTTTGCAAAACACCTGTGTTTACTTTTTTGTTAAATAACTGATAGTATGAATTCAGGAAACTTATTTTAAACTAGAACCTTTTAAAAAATCCCCCAAGTAGTGAAGTGTAAATAATTGATAGTGATTCAAGTAGTACTTGACACAGAGTGGACATTTGGTAAATCAGTCGAGTTTGAATTATTATATTTTATAAAAGTGCTGTTAAATAAAATAAAAAGCTGACACTTAAATAATGCTTAGAAAATGTTCTATTTTTTTAGTTAAATCCTCATACTTGTCTTTATATTCAAGTTTAATAGCATAACTAATTTTAAACCTTTTCTCACAGACTTACATGTAAATGTCAACAAACAGACCCTTGCCACTTGTGTGAAGTGGCTATTTAACCATGAAATAAAATATTTTTATTGCCATTGCCCTGTGGATATGTTGTTTCTGGCAGGGCTGTCCATATTTGGTGGCTAAGCATGGAGAGCCAGGTGGTGCTGAAAAGCATCGCACAGTGAAGCGTGGATATATCTAGGTTCAACATTTGTTATCCCTTCCTGCTGAAGGGAAGGAGAAAATCTGCTTTTCCATATGTTTATGAATTTTTTTTTTTTGCCCACAGTTTTGTCCAGATGGTCTTGTGAACATTGTTTACTTCAGGATGCTATCCCAGATGTTTTGAAAGCTAAGGGATAAATATGGTACACAGATAAATAAATTATTGGCATATTACAGCTTAAAAAATTTTATTTGTTCTTGCAAGAATCATAATTTATTTTTGAAACTATTTTCTTAAATGAATAATGTGTATAAATGTAATATATTCATGTATAGTTGGTAAAGCTTATACAGTATATATTTTCCAGCCGTTTTCATATTTTTTAAAAAATAATTTTTAAAATTTAAAATAACATTTTAGAATATTTCAAACATACACAAATGTATAAAGAAAAGGAAAAATAGACCCTCATACGTATCACAAGCTAAAACACTTACCAACTCTTGGGCAGGTTTATTTTGTTGTTAGTTTTCTCTCTCATTGAATTATTTTAAAGCAAATCAAACATGTTTCCATCTTACTATAGGTAAAAAAAAAGTTGGCCATATTTTATTAAAAATATTAATTGAAGGAAACCCTTCTGAAAAACTGTATTTATTCAGGGGTACGTGTGCTCAAATCTGTAAGAGTCTTGTCTCACCCTTAGCTTTAATTCTTCTCCTTGTATCAAATCACCAAATACAATTTAGGTAGTAAAATGATAATAGATTTATAGTCAGAAGATTAGCACTGTAACCTTAAGTTTTGTAAAGATAACCTTCACAGTAACAGTTTTCTCCTAGAAAATTACTAATGCTTGAATATAGTTATTATTTCAACTTAAATGTCTCAAAAATCACTGTGAAACAAGTTAGCAGCAAGGGCCATAATAGGAGTCTGAAACCTGCTTATTCTAGACCCTAGTTGAAATCTCAGATACAAAAGAGGCAGACTGTTTTTGTTTCAGTCAGAACCCACGTCAACTTTTTTCTTGTTGGTATAATTCTCCTTAAGCACTGGCTAGCTTTTAGCTTTTACAATAATTTGTAAGTTAGAATACTATCTCAATACTATATCAGAAATAGGTATAAAGTATTGATTTTTTGGTCACAGTAAGTTTGGGGAATCATGGTGGCGCAGTGGTTAAGCACTCAGCTTCTATTCAAAAGCAGCCATTCCGTCAACCAATAAATAGCTCGGTGGGAGAAAAGACCTGGTAACCTGCTCCTATAAAGGTTATGGTTTAGGGTCAATCAAATGTGGAACAAATCATCCAAGAAGAGGGGCTCTATGAAGAGAAATGTGGCATCAGAATTGGAGGAAAACTCTTCAACAACTGCATTATGCAGATGACACAACTTTGCTTTCCAAAACTGAGGACGACTGGAAGTGTTTGCTGCAGAAGGTCAAGGAATGCAGCATTCAATATGGGTTGAGGCTCAATATCAAGAAGACAAAGATTCTCATCACTTGGCAAATTGGCAGTGCCATGATAAACAGAGAAGAGATTGAGATTGTTAATTGGTTCAGCTTGCTTTGCTGCACAGTCAACACTCTTGGTACCAGCAGCCAGGAAATCAAAAGACAAATTGCTTTGGGAAAGTCTGGTGTCAGGGACCTCCCCAGAGTACTGAAGAGCAATGATGTCAGTCTAGAGATTAAGGTGCGCCTGATCCAGGCCATGATCTTTGCAATTACTTGCTATGCAAACAGTTAATACTTGCATTTTGTTGTGATCTCTCTCTACTGGACACATTTCAGTTCTAACTCAAGGCTTCCCATTTGAACCTTTGGGTTGGCAGTGGAGCTCTTTACCACCAAGCAACCAGAACTTCCTTTATTCTTGCTCTCCTGTAATCTAGAGAACATTGGTTAGTTACAGAATATCCTTCAATTTGAGTTTCTCCCTTTTCCTCATTTATTTACCTGTTTATTACCAATTTAGATTAATTCTCATTTTGTTAAATTAATAGTGATCTCTTACTCTCCTTATTTTACTGGTCAAATAAACCCAGATTGAAACAGTGGGAGCCTATGCAAGATGGCTTCTGGGTATTTTGTCCCATTCCTATCACTTTTTTTGTTGTTGCGATTTTAATGACACTTTACAGAAAGGTTGGTTTTCATTCATTTTTTGATGCACATTTTCCTCCGTCCCTCTCCATTTCCCCTCCCTCAGCTGACTTTATAGTGAACTTCTTGTTCCAGATTGTTGTCATACATATAATGCTTAATTATGCATTCCTTTTAGACACTCCTGTCCTTCATCTATACCAGTGCAGTGTTGATTATCTATCTGCTCTTTTCCTGTTTTCCTCCCTCAATCCTATTATGTAACAACAGTCTTATACAATATTTGTCCTTTTGTAACTCAGCTATTTCACTCAGCATAATGTCTTCCTATTACTTTTTTTGAACACTGATATGACTCAGTTTTATTCTTCACCACCGTATACTTGGAATCAATATTTTCTTCAAGGAATGTTCACACTTTTTAATGGGAAATGGTATTTTGGAAGCTTAAGATCTTGGTCTTTTTATTGGATAACTATTATTTTATATTTAATTTTAAGTTTGCTTAGAATTTCTTTTGTAGCATGGTATGAAATATGGAATGGTATATTAAAATGAATTTAAATTATCCACTCTAACAATTAATTGTTCTTTTAAGAATATTGGTTAAAGGAAGGAAATTTCAACTTGTAATATATTTAAAATACGTTAGATGAGGTATATTTAATTTTATCTCATGTCAGCTATATTTTCTTTCACAGGTGCATTTTCTAGAATCATAAAACTTTGTGAGGAAAAATGTGAAGCAGGTGAAATAAAGAAGGGAAGAAAAAGCAACAGCGTGACACTTGTGAAAGGAATCACCAATTTAGGAAATACTTGCTTTTTTAATGCAGTCATGCAGGTAAGAATAATCAGAAAACTTTGTAAAATTTAAAGTTATTTTATAGTGTATATACTATTAGATACCTCTGAGTCCTCCTAAGTAAAAGATACTGAATTATTAATAAAAATGAGTTTTGATTAAAAAAGTGTCTCAATAGGTAGAATTATTTTCCAGAATTTTTTAGACTGTTTATACTGGTATTCAGTTGTTAAATTGATCTTGCAGCATCTACTATAGTATCATAAATGCAGTAGAAATTTTATTTTTTGTTTAGATACAGTAATTTTTTTCCATCTTTCTTTTTTTCCTTAGGGGAGTGATTACTACCTCCCCTGTTTCTTAAGATGATATCATTATCACTCTGCCTTCATAGATTTCTTGCTGGTGTGTTAGGAACGTCATTTGAGGGAACTCTGGTGGCTTACTGGTAAGAGGGTGCATTGCCAACCTAAAAACACATGGTTTGAATCCATCAATGGCTCTGCAGGAGAAAGATGGGCAGTCTTCTCTTGTATAATTACTGCCTCTGAAAAGCAGCTGAAAGTTCAGCTAGGAATCATTTCTTATCATTTCTCAACACATGACTGCTTTTGGAGTTCAATTTTGTGGGTTTATAAGAATAATGGAACTTAAAAACAAAGAGATTTTTGTTTTTCCATGTCAAAAAGATCAGGTTCAGGAAGTCTGGGGTCAAACTTGGTTTTGCTATTTTGGGTGTTAGCAGCGTAGTTGATCTTGGTGGGAAAGTATGGTTGAAAACAACTGCTTTGGACTCAAAAGATTTTAATGTCTTCAAGAGGACTGTTTTTGGGGGCAGGGGCCTGAGAGTGGGGAGAGGGTGGAATCACAGGGTTGCAGAGTTTAGTGGTTGGAGGGAGTAAATAATACCTCCAAAAACAATGTACAAAAAAAATACAAACCATAGTGTACCCATGCCAGAATAAACTGCAGCCTCAAACCATGGCTCAGCCTCCTTTCCCATGGGCTGTGAGCACTGACAGAGAGAGGTTATACACTGGGAGGAAAAAAACAACCAAAAAACAAAAACCAACAACAATGTATGTGAATGAAACACAATAAAAAAAAATACACACACAAAAAAAGGCATAGATGCAGCAACACAAGTGTGGTATAGCATATGAAGTATTTACATACACTACAATATGAATGAATCCTGGAAACAGTAAGCTATGTGGAAGAAATAAGACAAAAAAGGCCACATGTTATATGACTCTGTTTTGAAAAAACCCAGAGTGGGCAGATTCACAGAGGTAGATTAGAAATTACTAGGAGTTGAGAAGGCAGAGGTGTGAATCACTATTTAAGGAGTATAGAATTTCCTTTTGGGGTGATGAAAATTGTTTTGATCTTGGAGCTGGTGGTTGTACAGCATTGTAAATGTATTAAATGCTATTGAATTGGTAACTAGAAAGAAAAAAGAGAACTGTACAATTTTTGTCTTATAGTAAGTAGACTTTCAAATAAATGTTCTATGGTCCTTTAGAAGTTCCTCCATTTTCTCATTGTTTTGTATGTTATTTAGTGATCATATGTACTCATGCATCCATCTCTTTCCTAGTGTCCTTCTTAAACGTCTTCTCTTTTAACTAGTACTAGAACAGGATTCTGGTCTGTTGTTCGTAGGGTTGCTATGGATCATTATCAAATTGATGACACTTAAAAAAAATCTGTTTCTTATCACTTCATCAGTAATGGAAACATTACCACGTGTAAAATATATCAAATTAAAATTTTTAAAGTTGCTTTGATTTTGTTTTTATTTTAATATTTTGTTTGTGTATGTGTACCATCAAACCAGATCTGACTGGTACAGGAGGAGATTTCCCCTCCTTCCCCAGCAGAGCATCTGGTGGATTTGAACTGCATACCTCTGGGATTTCAGTGCGGTAAATTTTTTTAAGTAAACATTTTTGCTCTCCTGAATATAATTTATATTTATATAAATACATGTATAAGTTTATGTAATTTATATATAAAATATATAAATTTATATATTTTTTAAATTTATAGCAATAAACATTTTTATTAACTTATTTTATTTCCTAAAATTAAAGGCATATTATTGTAACCAAATCAAAGGAAAGTTTTCCTTTTGTTACAGAATTTGGCACAGACATACATTCTTACTGAGTTGATGAATGAAATCAAAGAAAATGGTACAAAATTAAAAATCTTTCCTTCTTCAGATTCTCAGCTGGTGAGTAAAAAGCATAATTCTTACAGAAGGTGATTCTTTTCAGATGGACCACTAACGTTTCTGAGATCTGTTCTTCCTGTTTCTCAGAATTATCAATTGGAATGGTAATCAGAAGAATAAAAAAATTTCTAACATTTGTGAAAATAAGCAGTCAAATTTAAAACTACTAAAAATACAATTTTAAAATACACTATTTTTACAGTATCCAGTTAATGGAAACAACTCAACTATTCATCACTGAACAAATGAATAAACTATAGTACATTCACACAATGGAATATCTTGCAGTTCTAGAAAACAGTAAAGAATTAATGTAACACTCCATAATATGGATGCATCTAGAGAACATTATGCTAAGGAACATCAGTCACTAACAAAGGAACTGTTATGGCATAACACTCTGTTAAAATAAGCTAGGGAAAGGTTGACACACAGATGTAAACTTTGGTTGGTTACCGGAGATAGTAAACAGGGGAGATGGAAATAAAAAGAAATATATAAATTGGATGAAGGGAATGGTATTGATTAAAACTTAAACTCAATTTCATTGAATTGAAATCAACTCACAGCTGATCCTCCAGTGGTTTTCAGAACCTGTAAATTGCATAGAGAAGATTGCCTATCCTTCTCCCACAGAGATACTGGATTTGAACTGCCAGAGAGGTGCTGTCTTTAGGTTAACTTCCCACCTTCCCACAAACCATACCACTTGTTAGTGCTGTCAAGTCAACTTCAACTCATAGTGACCCTGTGAACAACAGATCTGAACCTTATGCTATCCTGCACCGTCCTCAAGCTCTCAGTCATACTCACACCCGTCTTACTAGCCTGTGTCAGTCTGTCTTGTTGAGGCTCTTCCTCTCTTTAGCTGACCCTCTACTTTTCCCAGCATGATGTCTCTTTTTAAGGACAAGTTCCTCCTGAAAATATGCCCAGAACAAGTGAGCTGAAGTTTCACCATCCTTGCTTCTAAGGAGCACTCTTGTTGTAGTTGTTGTTACGTGCTGTTGAGTCAACTAAAACTCAGTGACCCTGTGAACAGTGGCTCTGAACCTTGCCCTGTGCTGAGCCAGCCTCACCATCTCAGATACACCTGACCCCATAGCACCAGTGGTGTCTGTTCATCTCATCCAGGGTTTTCCTCTCCTGCATTCCACCCTTCTAAAAAAATGTCCTTCTCCAAGGACTGGCCCCTACTGACAAGATGCCCAGAGAATGTGAGATACAGCTTGAAAAATCCTTGCCTCCAGGGAGCAACCTTGTTTCACCCTCTCCAGGGGAGAACTGTTTGTTTTCTTTGTAGTCCGTAGTATGTTCAACATTCTTCTCCAGCACAAGTCAAATGCATCGATTCTTCTGTCATCCTTATTATCCAGCTCTTGTATAGCAAGCAGCTGAGAAGAATATGGCCTGGATCAGGCATACCTTAGTCTCTAGACTGACATCATTGCTTGTTAGCCCTCTGGAGAGATCTTTGACAGTAGATTTTCCCAATGCAACTTGTCTTTTTATTTTCTGACTGCTGGTGCCACAGATGTTGATTATGGATCTGAGAAAGATGAAATTGTTAACAACTTCAATCTTTTCTTTATTTACCATGCTGATTGGCCCATAGTGAGAAATTCTGTTTTCTCAATGTTGAGATGCAATTTATATTGAAGACTGGAGTCCTTTTGGTAGTCCATGGTCTATCAGATACGCTTTACCAACACCACAATTCAATTTAAAATGGATGAGTCTTGTTCTTTCATCATCATTTGTTGTCCAGCTCTCAAATGCTAGAAAGCACTTGAAAAGACAACTTTTTTTACATGTATAATTCAGTAAGAATAATTCCTGTTGCCATGTGCAACAGTCATAACTGTTTCTAAACATTATCACCAGATACATTTATGAGTTATAACTTGATCTTCATTCTAGCTTTCCCTCTTACTGAAATGCATGGTTCCGCTCACTTTCTGACTGCATCCAATACAAAGAGATTCCCTCTTCTTTAGACCCTGCCATAAATTATCCAGACCTGAAATTCTATAAGATTCTTTTCATCTCCGCTTACTGAAAAACCTTATCATTAATTGTTTGTATTCTTCCTCCTTACATATAATAATAAAAAACTCAATTTATTTAGCTTATTCAATTTAGGTATATTTCTTTTTGTCTTTGCCTAAAAGATATTAACACTAACAATATTGACTTTAGGAAGCTCTGGTGGCCTAGTGGTAAGACCTGCACTGCCAACCCTGACAAATGTGGTTTGCTTCCACCAGCTGCTCTATGGAAGGAAATTGAGCAATCTTCTCCTGTGTGATTAAACTGCCTCTTAAAAAAAAAGCTGACAGATCAGCTATAAGTCAGTTCTGACTTAACAATGTACAACAACAGTGTATATATACATTAGAAGAAAACTGTTGCTTTAAAGCAGTTAAGAGTTTTTAAAAAATGTAGTGGTAAGGAATTGGGCTGGCAATCTAAAGGCACGCGGTTTGAAATCCACCAGCTACTCTGTGGGAGAAAGATGGGCAGTCTCATCCAGTACTATTTGTTGTTGTTGTTGATTACTTTTGAGTCAAGCACAACTCATAGTGACCTTACAAACAAAAGGCCAGAAGCCTTTCTATAACTTTAAACATTTATCAAAGTTTGTAGAGTTTCCAGAGGCAAGCTTCAAGCTGCCTCTGAAAACCTGCCAGCGGGTCAGTTAAGGGTTGGTTCTGACCTAGTAGTACATAACAACAACAAACAATATCTTAGATAATTTCTGTTCCTTGTTTAATACTCTTGTTGGGGAAAATGAATGTGAGTTTTGCTACTAAATATAATGGATGAATACTTTAGAAGATCTACAAATACAAGTAGATGACTAATTTTACATGTGAGAGAATATTATTTCACCTTTATAAATAAGTAAAAGGTGGAGGTTGTGAAAATGTGTTCTTCAAGGCAAGACCCTCAATCATATTTGTTGTTTTTATAATTCTTTATATATTAGAAGATAAAGATTCTTAATACACCTGAGGTAATTTAGCTGCTACCAGTTAAGCATAGTTCTTAGATTTTTAAATAATTTCTATTTCTGACATAGAATTAATCATATTTTTAAAGGATCCATTGTTGGTAGAACTTTCAAGCCCTGGCCCACTGACTTCAGCCTTGTTCCTGTTTCTTCATGGCATGAAGGATACTGAAAGAGGGCCCCTTTCTCCTAAAGTTCTTTTTAACCAGCTTTGTCACAAGTAGGTGCACCTACATTTTTAATATTAATTATAAAACACTAATACAATTATTACTTACAAGTGTTTTGTAGTTTTCAGCAAATTCTGCCCTTATTTTTAGACTTATTTTTAAGAATTTAATGATTTTTTATATTGTTATAAATGGCACATTTAAAAAAATCAACTTCTGATTGTTACTAGTATACAGTTAAGTTTCTTTTTAAAAAATATTGATCTTGTTTCTTGCTACCTTGTTCATTCTAATAGCTTTATGTAGATTTTAAGGGATTTTGAATGTAGCATTGTTTTTGAGTTATAAAAGCTGTTTTATTTCTTCCCAGTCTGTGTTTTTTATATCTCTTTGTTACCTTTTATCATTTTTTTATTATTAATTTTAATGAAAGTTTATGGAGACTTTGGATTTCCATTCATTCATTGTTGCACTTTTCCCCTGCCCAACCTCCCCTCCCCAGTTCACTCTTCTCTTTGAAAAGTAAAAGAAAAATTTATTCATTATTATACAGTCCCTCCCCCCAAGTCCACTCCACTATGCAGCCTTCATTTTGAAAAGTAAAAGAAAAATTCTTTCTTTCATTGTTATACAATACCTCCCCCCAAGTCCACTCCACTATGTGGTCTTCATTCTGGACTCCTGTCATGACAATAATACCTAATCATATATCCCTTTTAAACAGTTATCACCCTCATCTGTTTCAATGCAGTATACATAATTTATCCCATCATTCTCAGTCTCCCCCCAACCCGATATCAGTCCTGTTATACAACAGTGGCACTATGCAGTATTTGCCCTTTTGTGACTGAGATATTTCACTCAGCATAATGTCCTCCAGGGTCACTCATTTTGCATAATATTTCTTGAGTTCCTGTTTTTCATGCTGCATAGTATTCCATTGTGTGAATATATCACAGTTTATCTACTCATTCATTTTTTGATGGGCACTTAGGTTGTTTCCAACTCTTTGCTATTGTGAGCAAAGCCGCGATAAACACGGGTGTGCATAGGTAGCCATTATGGTTTCTTTGGGGTATATTTCCAGTAGTGGAATTGCTGGGTCAAATGGTACCTCTATTTGCAACTTTATGAGAAAGTGCCATACTGCCTTCCATAGTGGTTGGGTCATTTTACACTCCCACTGATAGTGAATAAGGGTTCCAGTTTCGCCATAACTTCGCCAGCATTTGTTGTTTGCTGTTCTGTTAAATTTTGCTCTTCTTACTGGGGTGAGATGATATCTCATAGTTTTTTGATTTGCCGCTAGAGCTAGGGATTTTGAACATTTTTTCATCTGAATGTCTGGTAAAATGTCTATTCATATCCTGTGCCCATTTTTCAATTGGGTCATTTAGCTTGTTGTGGTGTTCGAGTATTTTATAAATTCTAGATATCAGTCCCTTATCTGACATGTCATTACCAAATATTTTTTGTGGCTTCCCTTTTTACCCTGGTGGAGAAGTTTTTCATCTATTTTATCCTCTCCTGGTTGTTGGTTTCTCGGGATGATTGGAAGACTACCTTTTATCACTTTCAAGGGTTTCCAGTATAGTGTTAGAGTGAAGTGGACATCATTGCCTTGCTCCTGGTATTAGGGGAAGAGCATTCAGTCCTTGACATTTAAGTTTGATGATAGCTGTTGTTGTTGTTGTTATGTGCCGTCGAGTTGCTTGCGACTCATAACGACCCTGTGTACAATGGCCCTAAACTCTGCCCTGTCCTGTGCCAATCGCACTGTCTCTGACACTCCCATCCCAATTATCCCAGTCACTGAATCAATCCACCTCATAGAGGGCCTTCCTCTCCTGCGCCGTCCCTCCACCCTCCCAAGCATGATGTCCCTCTCCAAGGACCGGTCTCTCCTCACAACATGTCCTTTTAAAACAGATTCCCTCCTATCAGATTGAAGAAATTATCACTTGTTACTAGTGTTATGAGATTTTTTATCAAGTCTAGCTGTTGGGTGTTATTAAATGCTTTTCTACATCGATTGAAATAATCATGTGGTTTGGGTTGTTGAGGGTTTTTATTGCCTGTTGATTTTTAAATTTTTTTTTTTTTTTGCTTGTTGTATTGATGGATAGGATAGTCCTTATATCTTTATCGAGGCATATTTGACACGTAGTAAGTTCTGTATATTTAAAGTGTATAATTGGATGAGATTTAACATATGTGTACCTTTGTGACACCATTGCTGCATTCATTACATATCTGTCACCTTCAAGTTTCCTGTCACTACTTTGTACTTCTTCCTGTGCCCCTCCCCCCCACAACCCACTCTATCTACCCTTTGTTACTACACATTAGTTTTCATTTTCTAGTATTCTTTGTAAATGATAACATATTGTGTGTTCTCTTTTTGTTGATTTCTTTTACTTTGCTTATTCCTTTGAGATTCATCTGTATTTTGTCTGTATATTGATTGACTGAAAATTGAGCCAATCTTTTGAAATTTCTGTTATGGTCATTACCATACCATTCAAGATGGTTAGAAGTTTGTTTGGTTAGAAGTACTTCAACTCTCTTCTTGTGGTCTTTTATTCTAAAATCAAAATAGATTGTATTTTTTTTTTTTAAATAGCCTAAGACAGCAAATTGGAAAAAAATAGTACAAAGAATTCCCACGGGCCTTTTACTTAGTGTCCGCAAGTGATACTATCTTACATAATCATATATATTGTCAAAACCAGGAAATTGACTTTAGTGTCATACCGTAAACTTCAGTACAGATCATGTAAAGATTTGATTAGTTTTTGCTAATTAATATTAAAATACTGAGTTCTTTTTGGATGTTTGGTTGGTTTATGTGTTACATAACTTTAAAAGTGCTTCCAAAGTCTCAGTATCAAGTGGGAGTTGTCAACAAATGTTGATAGTCTTTTCATCTGCAGCATCATAGAGACCCTGTGTCCAAAACAGAATGAAACTCTGCCCATTCCAGTGCCATTCTTGTAATGTCCCACATGCTTAAACCCGTTGTTGTAATCCTTGTGTCAGTCTATTTAATTGAGTATCTTCCTCTCTTTTATCCTCCACTTTTCCAAACCTTATGTCCTTTTACAAAGCTTGGCTGCTTTTTATAACATGCCCAAAGTATATGAGATAAAATTTCACCATCATTGGGCTGTTTCAGTTATATGCTTCTCTGTTCTGAACAGGGAAATGGTAGTACTGAAACCTCATAGATTCTTAGAGAAATTAAATGAGGCATCTATGATGAACACTTAGCATATTGATATGCAGTTGACAATTATAAACTTTACTTAAGATCAGTAACTACAACAGTGACTTTGAGCATGGTGAAGTTCATGAGGATGGCACTGGGTCACTGTGAGTCTTAGGCAACTCAGTAGCACCTAAGAACAATTTTTAAAATTATTACTGTTTAAAATTTTAAAATTAATGCTACGTAATATATGACAGAGTGTGGAAATTATCAAACAGTTATCATTAATATCACATGCAAGCATCAGTCTGCTGAAGATTAATCAAAACCCACTAGAATAGCACATCAGCAAAGAACTGCCAGAAGTGCAGGCTGAGTTTAGAAGAGGCCGTGGTACTAGGGATATTGTAGCTGATTTTAGATGGATTTTGGCTGAAAGCAGAGATTGCCAGAGGAATGTCTATCTGTGTTTCATTGACTAAGCAAAAGCATTTGATTGTGTGGACCATAACAATCTATGGCTAACTCTAAGAAGAATGGGAATCCCAGAACACTTGATCGTGCTTATGCGAAACCTATACTTGGACCAGGAGGCAGTTGTCAGAATAGAACATGGAAACACTGCATGGTTCAAAATTGGGATGGGTGTATGCCAAGAATGTGTCCTATCTCCGTACCTTTTCA